TCATCATCATCATCATCATCATCATCATCATCATCATCACCATCACCATCATCGTCGTCGTCGTCATCGTCATCATTATCATCATCATTATCAAAATCATCATCACACTCTTCCTCCTCCTCCTAATGATGATGATGATCATCACATTCCTCCTCATCTCCCTGCTCCCCCTGTGCCCCTTTCTCCTCTTCTCCTCCTCCTCCTCCTCCTCCTCATCATCATCATCATCATCATCATCATCATTATCCTTATCTCATTTTATTTCCACACCCTATAACCGCCATCGTTACTAGAAATCATACCATCTCCTACAATGTTGCACCCCCTCCCCCACCTCCTTCCTTTCCTCAGTGTTCTGGGGAGGCCGCGAGGGTTTCCACTCCCTGCTCAACACCAACGTCCGAGCGGAGCTTGACCACATGGCTACTTTCTTCCGACTGGCAATTGGTAAGTCACTAACTTGACTAACCACTGACAGTTATGGGTGGTTGGAGGGTGTCACCAGTACGTCTTTCTTCTTCGAGATCCTTCCTCTGTTTTGTGGGGACTAAGGTGTTTGCGGGAGGTTGGAGGGTGCCACTTGTAGTTCCTACTTCTGTCTTTTGTTTCTGTGTTAGTTTTGCTTTATTTCATAGCATGAAAAGACCTTTATTGTTTCGATGTGCTTCTCCTTTTGAAAATAAATAAGTCATTGACACTTTCCTCAACTTATGATACAGTAAGTTAGAATGTTTGCTCTTCTGTTATGAACTTTATATGGAAGGGAGTTTTCAAGTATTGTGAATTCAGATTGTAATTAAAACAGCTTAAATCAACTAGAAACAACTCAATTCAGTACAACAAGTGTATTTTTTTCACTCTACATAGGTATAACAATTCGTTTAATCCAAAGAATCAAGCAGCATTGAAAGTCTTTTCAAATATTCAAGTAATAAACATACTGATATAAAACTGATTTGAATTCTTACAAGCTAGACAGTTTTATAACTGATGCTGAAGTTACTAATAAACTCCTATACTCTACCTTATGTTACACCTGTTTTGTTGTTTCAGCTTACAAGAAGAAGATTGGCTTCAACGGTGTTTTCCTGATTGAACCCAAGCCAAAGGAGCCCACCAAACATCAGTACGACTATGGTAATGACCTGTTCCAAGTTTGACCCAATGTGCCAAGTTTCTTGAATGAGTTGAAAGATCATGCAATCTGATAGTTTTACCTGGTCCTGTTTATGAACCATGGAAAATTTTAATAGAATAGAAAACACAGATGTGTTTATTTGCTTTTTATAAAGACATTAAACTGAATGGCTTTTTAGCACGGTTAAACACCAACTTCTTTTGAGTAATGAATGTTACAGAATGAAAGACTGGCCATTCTTATCTACAATAGCTTCCCCTTGTAATATTTTTCCTGTTAACTTCAGTCATGTGTTCTTGTTCATGATGTAACATGCACATTTTATACATGTAAAATGCACATTTTATACATAAATACTTCCCAGATGCCATGACTGTTATTGCTTTCCTGAGGACCTACGGGCTGGAGAAGGAAATAAAGGTGAGATATGTGTACAGGTGTGCTCATATACAGTTCTCAACTATAAATTTCTAATTGTTCTTTTTTTTTCCTCAATTCTCTGGCTTTGTTTTTATTTAACTTAATCCCCCTTTTAAACAGCCTACAGGTCATTTTATATATGAATGAACATTTACTCACTTCTTCACAACTCCAGAATGCGAGAAAAAAGTAAACAAATCTGGACAAATGAGAAGTAAAACTTAACACTTGAACTCCACTTGGCCCATTGCTTTGACATGTTTTACGGCAGATCAAGTTTCATCCTACTGCAGTACAGCAATCAGCCCCCCTCCTTTAGAGAAGCAAATTTATAAACTGAGTCACATACAGGTCTTTCCTTTACCAAGCTACACCGCTAAAGTGTCATTGTTACACTGATATAATCTAAGTCTTGTGACAAGCTCTCATGACTTATCTCTGTTACTCTCCTGTCCTTTCAGCTAAACATTGAGCCCAACCACACGACCCTAGCCGGACACTCCTACGAACACGACGTTGTCATGGCCTCAGCGTAAGTGACTGCAGGGTAGTGGGGAAAAGTTTGCCTCTATAAATAATGAATATGTCAGTGAAAGCAAAGTTGCCTCCTTCGCCCTACCTCCCCACCCACTCAGCCCTAGTTACAACCTCACACTTACGACATAATTATGTGTTTCTCTCAGTTACAACATAATAGTATTCAGTTTTATTTTTACACTTACAACATAATGGTGTCTATCTCTCAATAACTACATTATGGTGTTTATCCCTCAGTTACAACATGCTGGGCTCTGTGGACTCAAATACGGGCTCCCCAGACTTGGGCTGGGACACTGACCAGTTCCCCATGGATGTGAAGAATGCCACACTGCTCATGAAGGTTGGTCGGATTTGTTTATATTTGCACTTTTTGGTTCAGATATATTTTTGTTCTCTCTCTCTCTCTCT